ATTGTCGAGCAAGCCTTCCTGGAAAGTAAATTCTGACTTTTACAAAACAAAAGCGTTTTAAACAATGAGGTGATAGAAGGCCAAATGGTGACTTCATGTTTCTACATGCTGAAGGGTTCTTAGATTCGCATGCGAAGTGTGCCCGGAATTCTTCTTCTTTACAGCCAGTTCCTCTGAGCAAGACGTCAACACTCGAAGTTGTAACCAGTCGAAAAACCATTACTACGTACCTTACCAGTAATATTTGGAAACAGTAGAGAATTCAGTTATTCAGTCAACGTGAAGCGTTGACCAGCTTGACAGAGGAAGCTACTATTAAAATACGAAGAAAGCAGCAAAATTCAAAAAGACGGAAAGAGGGCCTTAAATAATCATGACCTTACAAAGAGTAAGATACAGAGCATATAGTAAATATATGTAGTAAATATAGTAAAGATAGACCATAAATACACCTTACATATAGAACATGAACCTCGTTCAGCTGAAGCCTTATATGTCTAGACAGCAGAGGTATGAGTTTGGTGTTAAAAAAGACAAGACAAATGCAAAAGCGGGCATAATTCATAAAATCACCGAGTCTCCGACGCCTATATGGATCTACTTCAGCTACTTCAAGCTGTACTCATCGAGTACGTACCTCGAACATGTGCCGGCTCAATCTTGTGCAGTACTGCCACTGCTTAAATGCAGACTCGATATCGGCAGTCATAGCTGACTGCGACGTTAACAGGTAGTACTCGGAGAGACGCAACAGTAGATCCCTTAAGTACCTGATGATATGCTGCGTCCATTCTAAAAGAAAACCTTGAAGTAACGTTTAAAGCACTTCATAAATTTGTTAATTACTGATTCTAATCACTAATTCTACTAAGTAATTTAATTTCTAATTGACGTTAATAACTTATCTACCCTCTCTCTTCATTAAATTTAAAGCGGGGCCTACATTAAGCTTTTCTTTTATTCAGGGTGAGAGGTCAGGGTAGAAATTAAGGTAATCGTAGCAAACGACTAGAGACACGAAATCACTAAACAAGAATAGGAACTGGAATATTTTTGCACTCCTCTGCAACATTTGAATCTTCAGAGGTCACTACCCTCTGCATCGACTACTTCTACTAGAAAGCGTAATTTTTTATGCTATCGAAACCGCAAATGGAAATCTACAACCTGTTACCTCATAATTTAATACTGACAATTTTGCACCCTCGCTACCATTTCATATTACCCTCAGAATTATTAGTTCGATGCTCTACTGATGTTACGCCTATGAATGGTTATGCTCCACATGAACTTCCCTATAAATGTTTTGCGATTTCTTTATGCTGTCCACTACATTACTACTCATAGGTTCGCAATGCTGCATGCGAAGAAACCATAGTGAAGAAAAAGCCTAGCCAAAATCAAGGCTCAAAGTACAAACCTGAATAAGGATCATTCATCTGCTTTTTCTTGATCTTTCCGCTTTCCTGCTGCTGCGTGTAGTGAGCATTAGTCATCTTAAGAAACCAAACAGCCCTGACAATAGGGACGTTGAACTCTGCCAAGGTCGACAGGATTTCTTCCTTCTTTTTCAAGAACGGAAACTAAAAAACTTGCACTGTGACAGGAACATGCAATTATCCTACAAACTACTAGTGATTCCGTGAGCAAAAATGAACCATTTTAGAATACTGGCATACAAAATATTCCGATTTGACTGATAAACTGATCATTAATGTTCATTGAAGGTTAAATTCACTGATGGTTAAAATTAATAATGCAAACAAGTCTGTTGTTATTCTATTTGAACGTGTAGGCACTTGCCTATTTGTACGATAAATTTCCTTACGGTAGTTAATAACAAGTTTCATCTTCATCTTCCATCGACGCTTCTCCTTTCGGGTCGCGGAGGCAGACGCGTCAGACAGTGCTTCCAACGTTCC